TTGAAGTGTGATGATGCAATGGAATTCAAGGAAGTAGAAGGTTCCTCTGTAGATTCGATCACCGTATGCTCGGCTCTTACAGCTGCGAAGAGTACCATAGCCTGCTCTGTACGTTGAGTCTGGCCGTCATTAACCTGGTTCTCCGCGTAACTATGTGTATTGTTAATAAAAAGTTAATCTATATATTGTTATTATCTTGAACCATTTGCCTACTGCTGTGTAGTAAAGTGAACTACTACACCTCCACTCCATATATATTTGCAATAGTCAATCACTGTACTGGGTGACCTTGTTACTTGGTTGTATTGTACTAAGAAGGCTGCAACCCTGTAACATTATGTTTGTATTTATTTACTGTATTCATATTTTAATCAAAAAAGGTCTTGGCAATGAGTAAGATTTGAGGTGATATCCTTTGTTTCTATAAAATCAAAAATACAAAAGAATATGATAATCAAATCTGCTAACTACATATTGCAGCACCTATTTTGTCAGACAATGAAATTGATGAGGAATTGACTATTACAGATTTGAATTATCAAGTGAGTGACAATGAAAATGAAATTAATAGTGAAAAGAATGCAACTGCAAGGTCTAGTAATCAAACAAATCAAAATTTTGATGAAGACTTAGTTACAGAAAAAGTGCAAAGTTGGGAAAATCTAATTAATGAATAAATTAAGTTTGGAAATCATAAAAACCAATTTGAAGATCAGGATGATGAAATTTTGATGACAAGTGATTGGAATACAAATTTCTGTTTAGGGAGACAAGAAAAACATCCTGCTGATGACGAAGAAGCCAAATAGCCTTTAGATTCACTTTTTATTTCTTCTTTAGAAACACTTTTGTACTTTGGTTCAGAATTTACTTCCAATGAATAAGACATTTATTATTAGTATAAAAAATTAGGTAAAAAAGACGGACATAAGAGCATTCAATATTCTGTTAAAATAGAAACACTGAATTGGAATCGAAAAAATGAATGTTAGGTCTTCATTAATGTGTAAAACTTTGGAAATGCTAATGAGGTGAGAGTTGAAAAAGATAAATATAATGAATTCATTGATCAACTGTCACAAAAAATGTTAGTGAAATAATTTGAATTAACAAAGATAAATATGAGGCATTTATTAATTCGCTAAAATAGGCCGCTAGTGAAATTAGAATCAAAGAATATAAAGCATTTAATAATCTGTTAGGATGAGAAATGTTAGTGGAATTGGTGTTAAAAAGATGAACACAAAGGTTTATAAAAATATAGATTTTATTTGATATAATGAGTCTTAATAAAATTTTAAAGCTTGAAATTTGAATTCTCATAAAAAAAATTATATAAAATAATGTATTCCATTTAATAAAAAACCTCTAATATATTGTACCTTTAATTGTCAAAATTGACAAAATAAATAACTTCATGATTGCAAATTAAAAAACATCTATGACAGACCCAAATTAGAATATGAAATAAATAAATTTTTAGAGATTCTCATATTTGTAGCTATTATGTAACTATTGTCACAGGCAAAAATGAACTGTGACCAAAAAGAGCGTGCTGTAATCGATGATTGTACTCTAAAAACCTGTTTGTATGCATGTATGCGTTTGTCCTACAATCGAACGATATTGACAAGGTGTATGCACCAAATCAGACATAGATCAAATGCACGACAATAAGGTTTCAGACCAGCGATATAGTGAACAATCGGGTAGTAGAAATTGGTGAGAAAAACCTAAATGAAAAAAAGAATTAGTTAGTAAATGATATAAAAGCACATGTAAAAATTTAACATTATACTTCAGATTCTTGGAAATTTTTGTAATAACTGGAAAGGACTAAAGATTATAATAAAGAAACTGTAGTTTAATAAATAAAGTTGTTAATTGTAGTGTTAGTTTGTTAATATTAGTTTGAGTTAGTGATAAATAGTAAAGTAGTAAAGAAAAGATACTCACCAAATTGTAAATGCCTTTAGTAGAGAAACCTACCCAATTTACCTCCTGCCACTATTATCTCATGCTTGATCTTGCTTTCTAATTCGAATCCGAATATCACACATATATAAGTATATTCAAAGCTGATTTTTACAATTCAATGTATTTCTTAGTAGACTAGAAATAGAATGATAAAATTTTTGTTATTTCTGAAATATGTAATATTATAAAATTAGTTTTGAATACAGCTTATCCTAAAAGTCTTAATAAGTACAATGTATGGATTCTTATATGAATTTAACAAAGCATTAAATTTTACTAATTTGCCATACTGCATTTTTATTAGATGGGATTATGACCAAGGTTATAAGTTATATTATATATTTTATAACCTTATGACCTATGACTGGTTATAAAGGTCATAGTGGTCATAAAAGGTCATGTGCCATCACTAGGATGCCTAGCATCTGCAGATCACTATCAAAAGCTATATTACTAATTAATTTAATACAAATTTTAATTTTTTCTATTTTTGATTCAATTAACTAACACAAAAATTTGTTCAACATTAGTTATTATAACCACTTAGCCTGCACATGCTGTGCTACTTATTTGTCATATTCTCTTATTTGTCACATTCTCTTATTTGTCATATTCTTTATTTGTTACACTTTTTTATTTGTCATTCTCTTATTTGTCACACCTATTATTTGTCATACTATTATTTGTCACACCCCCTTATTTGTCATATCTTATATTTTTCAGATCTTCTTATACCCAAGATTTTATTTATTGTCTCTGTTTTTATTCTTTAAACTCTAAACTATGCCTACTTTAATCTTTAAAGATCTTGACTCTTACAACATTGACTACTATCATAGCAGATATAAAGATTGGCATAGTGTAGAAATGGTAGAAGAAAAACCTCAATCTTTACATATGCTTTCAGTAGACATTAATTCAATTACTTGTGATATAACAAAAAAATATCATTACTTCAAAGTTCCTCAACAACTTATTATTGCTACATGTCTTTGTAGAATATATCATACCAGCTTTATTTCTCAGTACTATAGAATCCCTTATTCTACTTCTTTCGGGCAACCTATAATCCAAACTACTTCTATCATCTCTATCAGTTATTTTAAAAAAATAGCTAATAAATTATCTCAATCATCTATTCCTAAACAACAACAATTTAATTCATCTTTTTTCAAACCTTGTATACTATTTTCTAACTTTCAAATAGATCTTATACCTTTTGCAATTGTGATATATTCTTAACATTATCACATATGTCTCTTATGTGAAACTAAAAATATCTCTTATATAGCAACAAAACAATATAGTCATGCTTCTGACTATACAATCTGTACAATCTTCAAACAAAATCTAATCCACAAACTCTGTATCACTCATCTATTAGATATTAAACTTAAACCTTTGGTTCAAACCTCTCCTTTTACATTTCAATAACAAATAGTTATAGCTTCAATTAAATCTAAACTAATTAGTTTAAATACTCAAACTCCTTCTTCTACTTTCAAAAAACAAATTATTCATTTTTTTAACTTTTAAACAAAAACTAATCCTTGCTCTTATCAAAATTCAACAGATGAAACCTACTAAAAAAATCTAACTTCTTAAATTCTTCTTATTAAAAAAAAACAAAAAACTCAATTTACAACAAAAACAAAAACCAAAAGTAAACCAATAAGATACTACTAATGACCTCAATTGGTTTAAAGAATATCCTGTAACTAAGTCTATAAAAAATAACACCAAACTAAATAATTCTACTGCATAACAACTATTTAATTTTATTAAACTATATTTTATTGACATCTATCTAGGAAAAATTACTCAAGCAGCTTCAAAAAATGCTCCTGAATCCAAACTTAATTACAAATATCTGGTTAAAACTCTAGTTGGCAAAAGACCTAAATTCTTAACTGATCTTATCTATGAAGCAAATTCTTTAGTTAATAGATCTATTTCAATTTTATTCAAATTAATTCATTTTACCTTTACTTCACTTTTGTAAGAATTCACTACAACCTTATTTACACAACTAAACTATTCAAGAATTTTTACTTCTTATAACTTTATTCCTCCATATACTACTACAAACTGAAAACAAATAGTACTTAATTTAGCCTGCCTACATCTTATTCTTTATGACAAATACAAAACCATTTATGCTAAAAAATTCTATAAAGATCTTAAACTCTATCCTATTTATTTTAGACTTAACTACTTTATTAGTGAAGATAATATTAATCAACCACTTTTTAAAATTCAAAATGATAACAAATTCAATATTAATATATCTCTTAATATTCCTAAAAAACAATTTCTCCAAACTTTTCAAATCTTTTTTTTAAAAAACTACTTATTCAAATTTAAAATCTGGTTTGAAAAATTCTTCAATATTTATAAATATCAATTCTATAACATTAATTAAGAAAAAACATTTAATTATATTAAATACCAAATTGCCCTTAAACTTTCTAATAAATGCAAAGCACTTCTTTCTTTCAAATTCAAAATTACTTCTATAAACTTCTTACAAGAGCATTTCAGACTATGCTTTAAGACTGCTTTATATCATATTCACACTTATACAGTTAAAAACTGTACAATATTACCTAATGATACAGAACACAATGTTAAAAACTTATCTTATCTTTTTTTTACTGACTTATATAATCACTTTCCAGCTCTAACCAATACTCAATCCAAACCAAAATGTATATACTCTATCCTTGATTTCTCTATATTTAACAAAGACCAACCCAATACTGCTACTTTTAACAAACCTACACCTATTACTTTTCTTTGTCAACTTGCTACTAAAACTGAAAAAGAATTTATTGAACCTAACAAAACTGAAACCAATCAGGCATGTGAAAACTACTATTTTTACAGCTTTTTCAAAGCTTATCTTAGTGCTACTGCCACAAATGATCAAATCAACAATCATTATTCATACCAAATTATTAATAAAATTACTAGTAAACCTATTAGTACTGAGTATTTAGCTAGAGTACTTACATATTTCTATATTCTCAAAAATAACAATCTTCCTATTTCTTTAATTAGAGAATTTTATAATAAAATATTCTATTCAGAAGCTCAACAAATCCTACATTCTAAATTTAATATCAAATTTAATCTACTCAAAACCAAATCTATTTTCTCTAATTTAAATACTTCTGACAAACCCAAAACTTCAACACCCAATAACAATATTAATTCATCTGCAGTTCTGAATGATAACATCTTAATGTTTGACTTAAACATCAATAATACAAATCAAAACAATAAACAGGACTTACAATCTGATCATATTACAACACTTTCATATAATCCTTTTCAATAAATTCTTCTGTAGAACACATAAATGCAGCCACTGCTTCTAAGATAATGATGTCCTTTACAGTTAATAGACCATTCTTAGAAGAGAATAATGTAAGTGAATAGGTGATTAAGTTTATTTATACAGAAAACCAGGTTAATGATGGCCAGACCCAATGTACAGAACAGGCTATGATATCTTGCACAGCTGTGCAAGCCAAGCATACAGTGAGTGAATCTACAGAAGAACTTTCTACTTCCTTGAATCCCATTTTATTATCTTATATCAAGGAAGAACTACAAGACTCATCTTACAATACACTATACAATTAAGACTTATGCTATAATTTGTGGTTAGCAGGGTTGAACATACCTCTACTTTCACATTCCCAAATACTTAGCTTCTTTTTAAAACATATTCATTATTACAACTATACACAATTAAACAATTTTAACTATGCATTCATAATATTAATTAAAATTGATTATAGTGAATACTATATACATCTATCACACA